TGGCAGTGCCCGAGGTTCGACTCCCAGAGGTGGCACTTCCGAAAGTCTCAGAGATGAAGCTCCCAAAGGCGCCCGAGATGGCGGTGCCCGAGGTGCGACTCCCAGAGGGGCAGCTGCCAAAAGTCTCAGAGATGAAGCTCCCAAAGGTGCCCGAGATGGCGGTGCCCGAGGTGCGACTGCCAGAGGTGCAGCTGCCAAAGGTGTCAGAGATCCGGCTGCCAGAAATGCAAGTGCCAAAGGTCCCAGATGTGCAGCTTCTGAAGGCACCTGAGATGAAGCTGCCCAAGGCTCCAGAAGTGCAGCTAAAAGCTGCCAAGGCAGAGAAGGTAGAGGGGGTGGAATTTGGCTTCAAGATGCCCAAGATGACCATGCCCAAATTCGGGAGGGCAGGGTCCCCGTCACGAAGCAAGTCAGGCGAGGCAGGGGCTGAGGTCTCAGGGAAGCTGGTGACACTTCCCTGTCTACAGCCAGAGGTGGACGGCGAGGCTCGTGTGGGTGTCCCCTCTCTCACACTGCCCTCCGTGGAGCTAGACCTGCCAAGAGCACTCAGCTTGGAGGGGCAGGTTCCAGTGGCTGAAGCGGGCAAGGTGGAGCGAGCAGAAGGCAAGGTAGCACAGGCAGAGGGCAAGGTGGAATGGGCAGAGGGCAAGGTGGCAGCAGGGGTTGGGGAAGTGGCCTTCCGGATGCCCTCTGTTGAGATCGTCACTCCACAGCTGCCCACCCTGGAAGTCGAGGAAGGGAGGGTAGAGGTGATGGAGATGAAAGTCAAACCCACCTCCAAGTTCTCCCTGTCCAAGTTTGGACTCTCGGGGCCAAAGGTGACCAAGGCAGAGGCTGAGGGGGCTGGGCGAGCCACCAAGCTGAAGACATCCAAGTTCGCCATCTCACTTCCCAAGGCTCGGGTGGGGACCGAGGTTGAAGTGAAAGGGGTCGGGGAGGCAGGCCTGCTACCCGCTCTCGATCTGTCCATTCCGCAGCTCAGCCTGGATGCCCATCTGCCCACAGGCAAAGTGGAGGCGGCAGGGGCCGATTTCAAGCTCAAGGGTCCCAGGTTCACCCTGCCCAAGTTTGGGGTCAGAGTCCGGGACACTGAGGCTGGAGAACTAGTGACAGGGGTGTCCGAGTTGGAGGGCAAGGGCTGGGGTTGGGATGGGAGGGTGAAGATGCCCAAACTGAAGATGCCCTCCTTTGGGCTGGCTCGGGGGAAGGAGGTGGAAATCCAAGGTGGGCGTGTTAGCCCGGGAGAAAAGGCAGAATTGATGGTCGGGCAGCTTAAGATCCCTGAGGTGGAACTGGTCACGCTGGGGGCCCAGGAGGAAGTGGGGGCAGAGGGGGCGGTGGCCGTCAGCGGAGCACGGCTATCGGGCCTGCAGGTGTCCACAACCAGGCAGGCAGGCACTGAGGGCCAGGAGGGGGTGCGAAGGATGCCCCTGGGCATCTCGCTGCCTCAGGTGGAGCTGACCAGATTTGGTGAGGCTGGCCTGGGTGCCACCTCGGGGCAGCCGGCTGAGAGTGCAGCCCCTTCAGCAGAGGGCACAGCAGGCTACAGGGTCCAGGTGCCTCAGGTGACCTTGTCTCTGCCTGAAGCCAAGGGGGAGGGTGGTGAGCTGTTGGTGGGAGAGGGCGTCTTCAAGATGCCCACTGTGACCGTGCCCCAGCTTGAGCTGGATGTGGGGCTGAGCCGAGAAGTGCAGGTGGGGGAGGCAGCCACAGATGAGGGTGGGCTGAGGCTGAAGATGCCCACATTGGGGGCCAGAGCTGGGGCTGGGGTCGGGGGACCTGGAGACCAGCCCCCAGGGGCCGAACGATCTTTCCACCTTTCACTGCCCAACCTGGAGCTCTCGCCTCCTGCCATGGGCAGCCATGCTGAGTACCAGGTGGTAGAGGGTGAGGGAGACGCTGGACACAAGCTCAAGGTTCGGCTGCCCCGGTTTGGCCTGGTGCGGGCCAAGGAGGGGGTTGAGGAGGGCGAGAAGGCCAAGAGCCCGAAGCTCAGGCTGCCCCGTGTGGGCTTCAGCCAGAGCGAGGCTGTTGCTGGGGAAAGCTCCCCCAGCCCTGAGGAGGACGAGGAGGAGGAGGAGGAGGGCAGCAGGGAAGGGGCTTCTGGTCGCCGTGGCCGCCTACGAGTTCGCTTGCCTCGAGTGGGCCTGGCTACTTCTTCCAAGGCCTCTCGGGGGCAGGAGGGCGAGGCAGCCTCCAAGTCCCCTGGTGGGGAGAAGTCCCCCAAGTTCCGGTTCCCCAGGGTGTCCCTAAGCCCCAAGGCCCGGAGTGGGAGCAGGGACCGCGAAGAGGGTGGGTTCCGGGTCCGACTGCCCAGCGTGGGGTTTTCGGAGACAGGGGCTCCAGGCCCTACCAGGATGGAGGGGACTCAGACTGCTGTCATCTGAAGCCCCAGGACAGAGGGAGACTTCCCTCCTGTCTTCCCCTCCCCCACCCCTTTTGTGTGTGAGTTAACCAGCACTAACCCTCAGAGGGCCAGGAGCCGCGGAGGCCTCCTGCCTGGCTCATTGGCAAGAGTGCCTGTATCTTGCCAAGCCATGTGAATAAATAATCCAGAGGTAGCCTTGTGTCTGGTCTTCTCTGTGTATTGGGAGGGTGTGGGGGGTAAGGGAGGGTGCAGAGAAAAGAATCCCAGAGAAGGAAGGAGGGGGGACATGATCCTGGCCTGAAGGAGCCTGTGTAGGCAGACACAGGCCACCTCTGGTCTGAGGAGAGTCAGGGAGGCCTTGGGATGGGCGAAGTGGGAGGGGGGGGCCGTCCTAGCCCTTCAGAAATCCCAGGGGCCCCTGAGCAGAACTCTGGGAAGTTCCCCAGCAGAACATAGCAGCAGGACCCCTCTTCTGGGGACTCCGCCTGCCCTGGGGACACCCCCCCCCCCCCCCCCCCCCCCCCAGCCAGGACAGCCCCAGGGGCCCTAAGAGAGCAGACTGATTGCTACCCACCTGCCCTCTGCTGGCCACTTCTCCACCAACAAGAGCGCCTCTGCATCCTGGCTGTGCCTTTTCTGTCTGGCTGGTTTGACAGCCTGGTCCACCCGGCCCCACCCAGGAAGGCCTCTCCTGGCCTCTCCAAGCTCCTGGGTTCAGAGCCTCCACTCAAGACATGTGGTTGCCTCGTAGGACTAAGTCCTGGGGGCTCAATCTCGGCTCCCAGGGACCCAACCTCACTCTGGATTTATGCCCCTAAGCTCCTGCCAGGGCCTACAGACACCCGCCTCCCCCCATCTCTCTGCCATGCCCCAGACTACTAGGAAGACCTGCTTTCCCATTTCAAATCTCCCCTGATGCCCCCATACCCACCCCTCCACTCTATTCCCATCCCAGAGGATGAAGGGCCATGCCCTTGAGTTGTCACAGACCCCCACTTACTCCAGTACCTTCTCCCTTCAAGCCTGCCCCCCTCAGGTCACTACCCTGTCTCATGCTTTCTCTTTGTCTCCACCAAACATGCAGGGGTTATCTGCCCTCATGGCACACACACCCCTTGACCAGCTCAGCTCTGTAGCATGTGGGGTTTTCCTCCCACAATGGCTACCCCGTCCAGTGTCTGAAGTGACTTCTCTGTGATCACACAAGGGCTTCCTCTGTCTCCCTTGTCCTGACTTCTCAGGCCCCTTCCTCCTTCCTGAACACTCCCCTCTCTTCTCCACTCCTCTCTTTCCTTGTGCCCTTTGGGCTCATCCACTCCCACACCCATCCTAGGCCTGTCACCCTTCCGGAGGCTTCTGCTCCTCACCTCTGGGTGACAGCTCCCAAATTCTTTCCTGGGTGCATGAGGGGATCCACTGGCCTCCACATGCCTCCCCTGGACATCTCCTGAGCACTTGGAGGGTGTGTGGGGTGGTGGTTCAGAGCTTGGCTCTAGAGCAGGGGTGGGCAAACTTTTGGACTCGAGGGCCACAATGGGTTCTTAAACTGGACCGGAGGGCTGGCACAAAAGCATGGATGGAGTGTTTGTGTGAACTAATATAAATTCAAAGTAAACATCATTACATAAAAGGGTATGGTCTTTTTTTTTTTTAGTTTTATTCATTTCAAACGGGCCGGATCCGGCCCGCGGGCGGTAGTTTGCCCACGGCTGCTCTAGAGCCATACTTCTCAAGGTCAAAGCCTGTCTCTGGCACCCAACTTTTTTTTCAATTAAATGGAGCTATTAAAATGTATGGTGTGCCCAGCCAGCGTGGCTCAGTAGTTGAGCACTGACCCATGAACCAATTTCTGGTCAGGGTACATGCCTGGGTTTTGGGCTCGATCCCCAGTGGGGGACGTGCAGGCGGCAGCCAATGGATGATTCTCATCATTGATGTTTCTGTCTCTCTCTCCCCCTCCCTTCCTCTCTGAAATCAATCAAAACACACAAACAAACAAAAAATAAAACGTGTGTTGTAAGGATAAGGCTTCTAAAGCACTCAATATTAAATTCCCTAACCGGGTCTTAGCATCCTCTCCTCCAAAGTGTTTCTGTCCATGTCCCCATTTCTGGGACACCTCCCCCCACCCACCCCAACTTGTCAGTCCCTTAGCCTGGCCTCCTGGCCTCCTGAATGTCTCATCCACAAGCCTCTTGCCTGTCTCCCCAACCTCTCCCGCCTGGGCCTGCTCCAGGCTCAGGGCCTCCACTCTCGCCCCTTCTGATTCAGCTTTCTTCACACAAGTAGCTTTCTCACACTCAAAAGCCCTTCTGTGTCTCCCCAGTGCCTTCAGAACAATGTCCAAAAACTCCTTAGCTTGGCACTCAACCTGAATCCACCTTGGCCACACCTTCCCCCATGTCAGCCACAGGCTGGGGCAGGTATTTTCTGAAAACACACACACACACACACACACACACCCCTTTCGCTAGGAAAACCTGCCTTTTCTCACCTGTTTGGGAATGTTCCTTGCTTCCACCTGAGGTCCACCATCAGACCCCCCTCTCAATGGATCCTTTACTTGTCCAGCCTCTTCAAGATTCCGCCACTGGGTGGGGGAGGGGGTTTGACCTGCCACCCCACCCCCCATTCCAGCGAGGGGCTCAGGTCTCCAACAACAGAACTGGAGCCACTTAGCAACGCTGGAACCCATTTGGGGGGGCCTGGGGCCCCTCGTCCCAAGCCAGGAGGGCTTTGGGGGAGGGGTGCAACTCTTGGCATATTCCCCGTGTGGCCCAGGGGGCTGTGAGGTGCCCGGGAGGCGAGGGCAAACCTCACAGGGGTAGTAGGCACGAGTGACGTTCTCTTTCCCCCACTGGGGGTACCTCGGGGACAGCGGCAGAGGAGGGCCAGGAGGCCTTCAAGACAGAGGTGGGGCAGAGGTGGTGGCAGGGTGGTGTCTGGCGGCCGGGGCACCATGGCCACCATCCAGTCAGAGACTGACTGTTACGACATCATCGAGGTGCTGGGCAAGGGCACCTTCGGGGAGGTGGCCAAGGGCTGGCGGCGAAGCACGGGCGAGATGGTGGCCATCAAGATCCTCAAGAATGATGCCTACCGCAACCGCATCATCAAGAACGAGCTGAAGCTGCTGCGCTGCATGAGGGGCCTGGACCCCGAGGAGGCCCACGTCATCCGCTTCCTTGAGTTCTTCCACGACGCCCTCAAGTTCTACCTGGTTTTTGAGCTGCTGGAGCAAAACCTTTTTGAATTTCAGAAGGAGAACAACTTTGCGCCGCTTCCTGCCCGGCACATCCGCACGGTCACCCTGCAGGTGCTCAGAGCCCTGGCCCGGCTCAAGGAACTGGCCATCATCCACGCCGATCTCAAGCCTGAGAACATCATGCTGGTGGACCAGACCCGCTGCCCCTTCAGGGTCAAGGTGAGGGGCTGCCCTGGGTGGCAGCATCTCCTGTTGTCTCCTCCCAGCCTTCCCCAGCCCTGGACGCTCTGGTTGTGAGGAGCAGGAAGACAGTGAGGGGTGACTGCCCCAGTCCAGGTGGGAGACATGGCTGGGCGGGACTAGACTTGTGGGGGGTAGTGGGAGGAGGGGCACGGGTGGGTCTGAATAGATTTTGGAAATGGAGACAACAGGGTTTGCTGATGGGTCTTATATGAAGTGTCAGAGAGGACTTGAGGGGGCACAAAAGCCTGTTGGCCTGAGCAACTGGAGGATGGCAGTGCCATACCTCGTCACAGTGAGTTTGCCTGTCAACAAACACTTTCTGAATGCCTGCTCTGGGCCTGACCCTGTGCTGGTGCAAGCTCCTGGGCTCGCCCATCCCACCCCGACCCTGTCAGAGCTCCTGGGCTCCCCCATCCCACCCCGACCCTGTCAGAGCTCCTGGGCTCCCCCATCCCACCCCTGCCCTTGTGTCTGTTTCTGGGTTTGTTATTGTCCCCTGATGATAGGAGCTAGGATTGCCGTGAGAGCAGGGCCAAGGCAATTTTGGTCACCACTGTGCCCTTGGCACCCCCAGCACAGCGCTGCTGTGGAGTCAGTGCTACATGAATGTCAGATCTGTGTGGGTGTAACAGTGCTTGATAATGAGGAGGACCTGGGCTGCTGGGAGGTGTCTTTCTAGTGGGTGACTTAGAGACGCATGGAGAGAGACACTGAGAGGGGAGAGACACAGACAAGCCATGAAGCGGCAAAGAAAGAACAAGAGATACAAATGAGACAGAAAGACAATGATAGATTAAAAAAAATTCATTCATTCATTCATTCATTCATTCATTCTAAGCTCCTGCTCTGTGCCAGTCACTGTTCAAGGCATCTAGGGACTCAGCAGTGAACAGACAAAATCATGCCCTCATGAGACTCAAATCCTAGTTGGTTAGAAAAACAATGAACTCAATAAAATATAAAATATATAGTTTGTGAAATGGTGTTAAGAGCTATGGAGAAAAGCAGAGGGCCAGGAAGGGGACTAGGAGGGGGAGGGTACTGGTGTTTGATAGGATGGTGCGGGGAGGCCTCCCTGAGAAGGTGACTGGAGTAAAGACCTGAGGAAGTGAGGGTGAGCGACGTGGACATCCAAGGAGAGAGCATTCCAGGCAGAAGAAACAGCCCTGCAAAGGCCTGAGCTGGGAATATATCCGGCTTATTCAGGAACAGTGAGAGGCTCCTGGGGCTGGAGCAGGTTAGTGAGGGGGAAGGTGGGAGGAGCTGAGGGCAGAGATGGGACGGGCAGATTGTAGGAGCCTTCGGGCCTGTGGTGAGAACTTTGGCTTTTATCACAGGATGTAGTAAAGCCACAAGAGGATGCTGAGCCGGGAGGTATGTGACCCGACTCAGGTGTTCACAGGATCTCTCAGAGCACATGTGAGGAACACACTGGGGGGCAGAGGCGGGAGCAGGGAGAGCTGTCTAGGCAGGAAATGATGGAGGCAGGACCAGGCGGGGCTGTGGCTTCGATGCACAGTGAGCAGATTCTTGATCTGTTCAGAAGGTGGAACCAACAAGATTCGCTGATGGACAAGGTGTGGGGTGAGAGAGCACGAGAGGGGTTTAATGCTCACAGGCATCCATTCTAGTGGAGAGAAACAGAAACAGAGGTACCAACACACAAAGCAGCGACAAAGGCTGCAGGAGGCAGGCAGCGACATAAGCGGTAAGACTAACTAACAGACAGCGACACACAAATGGCAGAAGCAGACAGACACTGGGAGAGACGCCAGCTGAGGCCCAGATCTGTTGTCCCCACCCCATGCCTTGCCCACTGGGCTCCCTTTCTACACAGGTGATCGACTTTGGCTCAGCCAGCATTTTCAGCGAGGTGCGCTACGTGAAGGAGCCATACATCCAGTCGCGCTTCTATAGGGCCCCCGAGATTCTGCTGGGGCTGCCCTTTTGTGAGAAAGTGGACGTGTGGTCATTGGGTTGTGTCATGGCCGAGCTGCACCTGGGCTGGCCGCTCTACCCTGGCAACAACGAGTATGACCAGGTGCGCTACATCTGTGAGACCCAGGGCCTGCCCAAGCCCCACCTGCTGCACGCCGCCCGCAAGGCCCACCACTTCTTCAAGCGCAACCTCCACCCTGATGCCACCAACCCCTGGCAGCTCAAGTCTTCGGCTGACTATCTGGCTGAGACCAAGGTAGGGGGGCAGGTGCAATGAAGGCAAGCAGTGTGGGGGCTGCTGCATAAAGAAAAAAAATCTAGCCCAGCCAGCATGGCTCAGTGGTTGAGCACCGACCTATGAACCAGGAAGTCACGGTTCGATTCCCGGTTAGGGCTGTCAGGGCACATACCCAGGTTTTGAGCTCGGTCCCCAGTAGGGGCCATGCAGGAGGCAGCTGATCAATGATTCTCTCTCATCATTGATGTTCCAATCTCTCTCTCCTTCTCCCTTCCTCTCTGAAATCAATAAAAATATACTTTAAAAAAAGAGTTAACACATATAAAGCACTTTAGAAAGTGCCTGTATTTAGTAAGGGTCTGAATCTGAGCTCTGTGCTCCGTCTTCCAAGGTGTGTGACTTTGGACAAGTGTCTTTGACCTCTCTGTGCCTCAGTTTCCTCATCTAGAAAATGAGACGAGAAGAGCATTTACCTCCTAGGTTAGCCTCAGGGAGGTCTGGGAGCTTGGCTCAGCTGTGAGGATTGTCACAAGAGAGATCTGGATGAGACCAACGGTGGGACTGGAAGTTTGAGGGTCACTCTGGGGGCTGCTGCAGCAAGAGGGGTCTGGGTTATACCACAGTGTGACAGAAAGGGTAGGGTAGCCCCTCTGCCAGCTGCGGATCTGGGGTCAGGCAAACGCGTGCAGTGTGAGGGATCTAAATGAGGCCCAGGTGGGACTGGACGTTGAAGGCAGCCTGTCTGCCACCCCTGTGGCTACAGTCACACACCTGTGCAGAGTCTGGGTGAGACAGCAGAGGACTGGAAGTTTGGGTCAGCTGCAGGACCTGTCACAAGAGAGGTCTGGGTGAGACCAAAGATGAGACTGAAAGATGTGGCAGCTCCTCTAAGGGCTTCTTGCCTGGGGGTTGCCAAACTAGTGTGGCAAGGAGGTTCAACCACTGGGAGGCCCGGAGGCCTGGGATGGAGTGTGGGAGCTGTAGCAGCAAAAGGGACCTGGGTTTGATTCCAAGGAGGACTAGAGGCTTAGGGCAGTTGCTCTGCTAGCTGCTCGCTGGTAGGGGCTGGGCCCACAGCTCCGGTGAGGACTGGGGGTCTGGGGTGAGGTGTGAAACTTGAGTGAGTAATAACTCTGGGTTAGATGTCAGGAGGACCAAAACACATAGGCAAGTGCACTTCCAGCAGGAACAGGGCTCTAGATTCGACTAGACACAGCGGTTCTCAACCTGTGGGTCGCGACCCCTTTGGCGGTCGAATGACCCTTTCACAGGGGTCGCCTAAGACCATCCTGAATATCAGATATTTACATTACGATTCATAACAGTAGCAACATTACAGTTATGAAGTAGCAACGAAAATAATTTTATGGTTGGGTCACAACATGGGGAACTGTATTTAAAGGGCCAGAAGGTTGAGAACCACTGGACTAGAGGGACCAGGTTTGGCCCTCCCAGCAGTAAGAGGGCTTCAAGTCAGATCACAGGCAGAACTGGAATCAGGATTCAGATGTGTGCACTTCATAGCAACAGGAGAGCTCTGGGCCAGACTGCAGGGCCTGCTGGAAGTTACAGGAGTGACTGGGGCCCAAGGCCTCGGTGTGGTGTCAACCCCTGCCTGCTGTGTCCCACCTGCCCACTGTGTCCCACCTGCCCGCTGTGTCCCACCTGCCTGCTGTGTCCCACCTGCCCACTGTGTCCCACCTGCCCGCTGTGTCCCACCTGCCTACTGTGTCCCACCAGGTACGCCCACTGGAGCGCCGCAAGTACATGCTCAAGTCACTGGACCAGATTGAGACGGTGAATGGCAGCGGGGCAGCTGGGCGGCTAACCTTCCAGGATCGGGAGGCGCTGGCCGAGCACGCTGACCTCAAGAGCATGGTGGAGCTGATTAAGCGCATGCTGACCTGGGAGTCGCACGAACGCATCAGCCCCAGTGCCGCCCTGCGCCACCCCTTCGTGTCCATGCAGCAGCTGCGCAGCGCCCACGAGACCACCCGCTACTACCAGCTGTCGCTGCGCAGCTGCCGCCTCTCGCTGCAGGTGGAGGGCAAGCCCCCCACGCCTGTGGTGGCTGCTTCGGAGGAGGGGCCCCCCTACTACCGCCTGGCTGAGGAGGAGGAGGCCGTGGGTCTCGGCAGCGTGGCGGGCAGTGGGCCCTTCTTCCGTGAGGAGAAGGCACCGGGCATGCAAAGGGCCATTGACCAGCTGGATGACCTGAGCCTGCAGGAGGCGGGCCATGGGCTGTGGGGCGAGACCCCCAGTGCGCTGGCCCCACTCAAGGCAGCTGTGGCTGGCCTCCGGGTGCCCGACTCGGGCCCCGAGCCCATCCTGGCCTTCTACGGCAGCCGGCTAGTTGGCCGCCACAAGGCCCGCAAGCCGCCCACAGGCTCCAAGTCCGACTCCAACTTCAGCAACCTCATCCGGTTGAGCCAGGCCTCGCCCGAGGAGGAGGGGCCCTGCCGGGGCAGCGGCTGGGCAGAGGGAGAGCACCGCGGAGCCTCCGCAAAGCCGCCCACCATCCCGAAGCGGGACGGGGACGGGCCAGACGTCAAGGACATGACTATGGATGCTGAGGTGAGTCAGGTGGGCAGGAAGGGTGCAGGTGGTTGGGGTCAGGGGTGCCCACAGAGCTTTTGGGGGGGGGTGAACCTGGCCTTGGCTCCCCACACATGTGTTGCCAACAGCTGGTTCAGAGTCCAACACACACTAGCCCAACCTCGGAACATTACCAGGCTCCACACGCTAACCCACACTCAGGACACAGCTAGGATGGGCGAGGCTCTGCTCATACTAACATGCCGTCAGGCTGTGTAAAAACTCAGGGCACAGTCATCCACCTGGAGGAAGTGACGAAGGCCCCGCACATGCTCACCCACCCTCGGAAGATGTGACAAAGCCCCAGCAGACACTAACACCCTCAGGACACACTGGTCTCAGCACACACTATCGAAGCCCCAGGATGTATCAGGGTTGCAACGGTATAGAATCGTCTTCAGGAAGTGACAAGGGGTCAGGTGGGACAGGAGGGCGTCCATGAGGGGCAGGATGGTGGCTTCTTGGCTGATGCCCTCTCTTCTACCCAACAGAGGCCGAGCCCTGAGCTCTTCGACCCCAGCACCTGTCCTGGAGAATGGCTTAGTGAGCCAGACTGGGCCCTGGAGGGCATCAGGGGCCCACGGGCTCAGGGGCTCCCACCCCGCCATGCCCACCCACATGGTCCACCCCGGGCCACCAGCTTTCTGCAGCATGTCGGCGGGCAGCATTGATGGTGACCCCACCTCTACCCATCACTGGTGGCTGAGCTAGCTGGGCTGGCATCCCTTCCTCAGAGCCATCCCCTGAACCCACACATTCTTACAGAAAGTTATCCAGAAATTCCCATTCCCCCACCCACAGTGCATGCCTGCACATACCCCCAAACACAGGAGGGCCTTGGTGTCTGGCCTGTGACCACCTTGATCAGAGGGGCACAGAGAGGTGGCTGCACCCTGTTGGCCCTGAGCACGTTCTTGGCCCTGCTGTCTCTGCCTATTTCAATAAAGAACTGTTCACAGCCCTGCCTCATGCCTGTCCTCGTGCTGCTGGTGGTGGTGGTGGTGGTGGGGGTGGGGGGGGTTCAGGCTGGTGCCCAGGCCTGCTCTGATGCTGCACCCAGTTGGCCATTGGCTCAGGCTGGAGGCTGGGCTCCCAGGACACTGGAACAGGCTGTGCTTGGCACACTGACCCAATCCCTAAATATGCACAGTGCCTGGCACACAAGCACACGAGAACCACCCTCAGAACACTGTGTCCGGCAGGTGCACATCCAAGCTTGCCAGATGCCAAGGTCTCATTGTGTGTTTACCTGTCCTTGTCACTACAGGCTGGCCATGCTCTTGGCTGGTGCAAATTCACACTTGGTGCATGCGCCAGTGTTCAGACATTCAAGTCCATCCTTGGGCTATGGCGATGGTTCATCTGCTGGGAGCACGCCAAGTGTGTGGCACACACTAACCCGTGCTGGCTACAGGACGCTCAGCATACACCAAGCATGCCGTCATACACTGCATGCTCAGCACATGCCAGCCCATGCCAGTTACACATGCCAGCCTATGTGGTTACACGCTGAGAGCTCAGCACATGCTAAACTAGTGGGCCACATGCTGTATGCTCAGCAATGGCAGGCCACTCCCTGAAGATCAGCACATGTCAATCACATGCTATGTGCTAGGCACATTCCAGCACATGCTAAGAGCTCAGTGTACATGCTCATGTCCCCACCAGAGGCCCATGCTGGCTGTCCCCGATCCCAACGACACCCTGCCTCACACCACTCAGTCAGGCAGAGACTGTACAGACAAGTTGTTTACTTCTTATTAGAACCTGGGCCCTCTTTGCCCTGGGAACGGGGGGAGGCCGGGGGACTGGCCCAGCATGCATCCCCACTTCTTCTGGGGCTGATCCCTCCCCCAGCTCAGCTGGGATCTGGGGCCACAGCGTCAGGCCGTCGGGGGTGAAGGTAGAGGTGGGAGAGCAAGGGGTCTGTGGAGCCACAACGGGACAGACAGAAGCAGGGCTACGGGGACAGGGACCACGACCCAGGGCATCTGGGTGTGTGGGGGCCTTGAAGGCCTCAGCCTGTCTGCTGGGACAGGTCTCAGAGCAGGCGACAGGCATTGCCCACGCTGTCGGCTGAGGCGTCGAGGTCGTGGCTGTAAGGGGAGTCCCAGTCCCTCAGGAAAACAGCCTCCAGCTGGCTCCGCAGGCCGCCCTCGCCGTTCTGTGTCACCAGCAGCGAGGTGCCCGCCGTCTCTGTGAAGTAACTGCCAGACCAGTTGGAGGTTCCTACAGGGCAGGGGGCAGAGTCAGGGCCTGTGGCAGTGCCTGGACCCCCTCCTAGCCCCTGGCGGTGCTCGGACACTCACCGATGTAGGCGGCACGCTCGGTCACCATGTACTTGTTGTGGTTCACTCGGGCATACGGGATCCGGGCCTGCGCCTTGTCCGCAGGGACCACAAAGAGTTTCTGGGGGAGAGGGGAGAATGGAAAGCAGTGGGAGGTGCAGTGGGTTAGAGACGCCCCCGGGTGTGGGGTGGGGAATGGGGACAGGTCTGTAGGATTGGGGAATCCGTGAAAACCACAGGGCCAGAGCAGGGTCTGGAGGGGTGGCTTTCAGGCAACGCTGGCTGGGAGGCCCAATGACTTCATTTGCCACCGTTCCCTCTAGAGTGACTCCCAGAGGGGCTCCTCTAGAACGGCCCCGGAGGCCGCACCTCAGATGTCCCATTTTCCAGACAGCCTTCTGTCCCCTCAGGCTGGGGCAGGTGTTTCCTCTGGGCACTCCCATCCCACCCTCACCCTCCACCCTGCCCCCCCAAACCTGGGTCTCACGCACGGTCTCCCCATCACCGCGCGGTTCACTCTGGGCTGTCTGCTAGGTGAGCTCCACAGTACTTTGTGCCCAGGACTGCCCAGCACAGGGGCTAAGGAGTGGTCTGTGGCGGCGCTTACCACCTGGATGTCGGAGTGGGTGTGGTTGTCACGCAGGGCGGCCAGGGAGAGCAGGAAGGCTCGCATGGACGGCTCAGAGTGACCCCAGCAGCTGACCAGCAGGCGCACCTTGATGCCCCGCTCGTAGGCAGCCCGCCGCAGCCCGTCATCGATGGCAGGCCAGAACCTTGGGGCGGGGGGCAGGGTACAGGGTGGCGTTATCCACAAGCCTCACTCCTGGCTTTATGGAGCGAGGCCTGGGCCCTGCCTCAGCTTCTGAGAGCCCCCAAACCCTAAGACCACTCATCTCTGACTCCCGGTCCTGTTCCTGCCTCCTTAAATACCACATCCTTTACTCCCTGATTCTGGCTCCCCTTCCTGCCCCCCCAACCCAGCCTTTCCATCATCTTGTCTGCTGCTCCTACTACTTTCTCTGAGCCCCCCAACCCTGCTGCCCCAACCCTGAAAACTCAGCCCCCATTCCCCAAGCCCTCATCTGTCTCCAGCCCATGCTCCCTGCTTCCCACTCCAGAAATCCTGCACCCCCTGCCTCTGGCCTCCAGTCCCCATCTCACCCCCCTAACCCCAATATTCTCATCCTTTTCTCTGACCCCTCTGCCCTTGTCTGGAGCACCGAGGCCCCTCTCCCTGTTACCTCTGTCTTCTCTGCCTCTCCCCATCGCTTCACCTCCATCTGTCCCCTTGCCTCGGCTCCACTGCCTGCTTTCTGGGCCCCTTCACTCCCTCTCCCACTCCAGTGGCTCCCTGTCCACCCACCCAGCAGTACCTGCGCGGGTGGGAGAACTCCATGGTGGGCAGGTAGTTCATGACTGCGATATAGATGAAACTCCGGGCATTGTCCACCACGTTGAGCAGAGCCTTCAAGTCTGGGGTGCGGCCACTCGGACACAGGGGTGGGGGCGCACTCTGGGGGCGAGGGGACAGGTAAGACGTGTGCCATGCCAGGGGTGCCATCACAATGGACCCGTGTACAGGCAGCTGAATCTGCAGCCTCCATGAAGGGGAAGGATGCTTATGACGTCCATTTCACAGGTGAGGAAGCCGAGCCGCAGAGAGGGTAAGTGACTTGCCTGAGTCACACAGCTGATAACCTGAGCCAGGATTTGAACCAGGCTGTCTGGTTCCAGAGTTTATGCTCTAACCCAGTGGTTCAAGACAAAAGGTCCCCGATCCAGCACTAACAGCATCAACTGGGAACTTGTTAGAATTGCAAGTTTGTGGGCCTCACTACACATGGCATCCTGAATGAGGGTGCTGAGGTGGAGCCCAGGAATCTGGTGATACAGCATTCCCTGTGGTGGTCTCTCTCTTTAAATTGGTTTCAGAGAGGAAGGGAGAGGGAGAGAGAGATAGAAACATCAATGATGAGCTTCCTCCTGCACGCCCCCTTCTGGGGATTGAGCCCGCAACCCAGGCATGTGCCTTGACCGGAATTGAACCTGGGACCCTTCAGTCCACAGGCCGATGCTCTACCCACTGAGCCAAACCGCTAGGGCACTCCCGCTGGTTCTGATGCACGCTCAGGTGTGAGGACCTCTGCTCTTATTGCTTTCATCCCTGACTCACTCACAGGCCCCCCTGAGGGCACCCCTCATGTGCCCGTGCCACACCAGGCCCTTTACCCAGCTCTCTCCAGCCTCAGGACAGGTGAGCAAACTCAGGTTCTGAGAGGGGGAACCCTCAATCCCCTGTGGGAGACCACTGGAGTACAGGACCCCAGCATCCATACACCGTGTATGGCCCCCCACAATGACTGGGTTTGGCCAGGTGACTTGTTTGGGGGTACTGACGGGGACGAGGTTGGCCACCCCAACTAGTGAAAATACCAATAGCTAAAAAGAGCAGTGCCTTGCCCTGGACAGTGTGGCTCAGTTGGTTGGAGATCATCTCATGCACTGAAGGGTCCCAGGTTTGATTCTGCTCAAGGACACGTACCTCGGTTGCAAGCTCAATCCCTAGTGTGCAGGAGGCAACCAATCGGTGTGTCTCTCTCACATCGATGTTTCTCTCTCTTTGTCTCTCCCTCTCCCTTCTACTCTCTCTAAAAAAAATCAATGGAAAAATATCCTTGTATGAGAATTAACAAAACAAACTCCACAACAGCAGTGCCTTGTCTAGAGTGCTCAGTATCTGCCACAGAGACAGCCGGCGCTGTCCACAGAACTTCTGCAGCGATGGAAATGTTTCTGTACCTGCACTGTCCTGAGGTGGCTGCTTGCTGCATGTGGCCACTGAGCACTTGGAATGTGGCTAGTGTGACTGAGGAACTGAATTTTCAGCTGGATTTAGGGCTAATGGGGAGGTATAGCTGGGTCCATGTAAGCTCTAAGAGGTTGTAAACATTTTCTAGATAAAACTGAGGCCTAGTGAGGTTGGGATACAGCCCAGGCCCCTAAGTAGAGTGAGCAGGAGTGAGGGCTAGTGGTCCGGACCCCCTCCCCACCAACCCCTGGGCAGGGCTGGATGGAGGCCGTGTGAGGGCATGTGGCCAGGGTGTGACAGGCCACTCTTCCTTCAGACTCACCGCCAGGTAGGCCAGAGCAGGGGTCCCGTTGAGGCAGATCTCCATTGGTGTCTTTTGATTGTAGAGGGTGTCATAGGACTGGGGCCAGGTTGACGGGATGGAGCTGCCCTCCTGGCCCAGGTACCAGTAGGCCTCGAAGATCTTGGTCAGGTCTTGGGCTAGACAACTGCAGTTGTACATGACCACGCCCAGCTCCTTGACCTGTGGGAGGGAAGTGCTGGGCCTGGGGTAGTGGCCTCATGTCCACAGCAGCCCCATTCCTTCCCATGCCCTTCAAAATCCCCTCTCCCTTCTTTTTTTTTAAAACATATATATATTTTTTTATTGATTTCAGAGGGGAAGGGAGAGGGAGGGAGAGACAGAAACACCAATGATGAGAGAGAATCATTGATTGGCTGCCTCCTGCACACCCACACTAGGGATTAAGCCCACAACCCAGACACATGCCCTGACCAGGAATTGAACCGTGACATCCTGGTTCATAGGTC